TTGGTACATTAACATTTAACTTCATCTGTCTCAACCCTAAACCTGTCAAACAACCCTTGAAACCTCATTTTCCAAACAGTTTTCTAAGATAATCCTTCATGCTGAAGGCATCAAAGGACAGAGTCCATTAGTATAGAAATATTGCATCCCAGTAAAGTGTTGTATTGTTATTTCCTTGTATTCATATGGTTGTGATGAATGAGATTGTCACTTTGGGGGCAAGCATATTTACAGCACTGTAATATTTGGGTTGTTCGACAATCAGGAACTTTTGCTGCTGCCCGTGAAACTTGGTACAGACTGAACAGTAAATCATACAAAAGGAATGTTTGCAACAGAAACCATATTCTAATGTTCAGATATGAGCAGTGGGAGAATTATCATTGGACCGACCGGTTTAAAAGGTAAAAGGAGATAAATGATTAAGAACACCTCTCTGTGAGGGTTATTCTTTGGCATTATGTCAACTCTTACCCTTTTGGTAACAGACTCAAGTTTTCAAGCTGTTCCAACGTTAAAGTTAGTGTAAGAAGAGAAATATGAAAAGAAGGAGCTGGGTGTGTTTTTCACAAATTACTTAAGCGTCTTGGAACATCTTGGCAGGAAAAAGTGCTCCTTCTATATGACTGCAGTATAAGATGTATTAAGATCGTTTGGTTTGTGGCACAACTGCAGCGATGGAATGCATCTGAGGTAATGACTGCTGTCATAGTTGTTTTTTGGTTATAAAACGCCTGGCTGAACTTGGCAGAGATGGAAAGTGATTAATGAAACAGAAAAAATTGGAACAAAATGGAACAGTCTTCCTCTCGTAAAATATCCAGAACTAAATCAGACAGATGTCTGAACAGGGGCGGTCCTTGTATAATTGAGGGCCTTGGATGAGACCCTCCTTTGCTCTTATTCCCTGCTTGAGACGTCATATTTCCTTAATACTTAATAGAGACGGAACTATAACTTAGAGACATTAGGTCAATTACATCAAATCAGGTATCAATTTTAGCACATTTATGCGTTTTATTTATTTTTAATTTATTTGTTATTTCTTTATTTATTTTTCTTTATTTAACCTTTATTTAACCAGGAAGTCCCATGGAGATTCCGAATCTGTTTTTCAAGAGAGACCTGGCCAGGGTAGCAGCCAAACCACAGGAAGTTCGTACATATTTACAACATATTACATTTTTCATAATAAAATCAGAGCAGTATGTTAAAACACATGAGCATCTCAGGAAAAACAAGCACATATCTCCATCACTACATTCTTCCTGGTTACTTTAAATTCATTAATGGACACGAGAGTTTCTAATTTGAGCTCTTTCTGGAGGTTATTCCATCCCTAAGGTGCAGAGTAGGAGAATGCGGTTTTTCCCAACTCATTTGAAGGTCGGGGTACATTAAAAGTAACCACTGAAAGGAGCGCAACTGATAACTACCAGAACTCACAGAGAGGAGGTTACAGAGGTACAGTGGGAGTTTACCAAGTATTGCTTTATAGATAAAGATATACCAGTGCTGTTTTCTACGAATTGTTAGTGATGTCCAACCAACTAGATCATAAAGAATGCATTGATGAGTAAGGGACTTAGAATGCAGGCTTTTAAGTTACACCAGTTTGGGTTAAAGGAATAGTACACCCAAAACATGATTAGCCTTCATTTTCTACTCACCCC